ACAGCCCCCCATCTCCCCCAGCTCTGCTTCCCACCCCCCTTCTGGCCAGCCCTACCCCCTTCCCCTCCCTGCCTGGTGCCCTGCCCTGCCCTCCTTTTCCCCCTTCCCCTGTGGCACGCTGTGCTGCTCCCAGCTGAGCGGCACTCCCGCCGGGCCCTGGAGGGGGAGCAAGCAGCGGCAAGCAGCCTTTTGGGGTCCGTGCTCCCCAGCTGACCACCGCTCCCACCGGGCTCACCTGAGTGGCGCTCTGGCCGGGCCCCGGTGGGGGAGCAAGCGGCTGCACGCCCGGGGTCACGTTTCCAGAGTGCCTCAGTGACTTAGAACCCAAGTCCTGTTTGCAGAAGTGACCTGGGCACTCTGGGCCACATTGCCAAAGGGCTGAGGTGCCTACAGACGTAGGTTTAGGCACCAAGAGGAATTTTCAAAAGCACGCAGGTAGGTTAGGAGCCTAGCGCCCATTGGCTGTGGTGGGAACTAGGTACCTCAGCACTTGGAAATTCAAGTAGGTGCCTGTCTGAATTGTTCAGCACCTAAACTCCTTTACAAATCTGCCCCTGAGTCTCACTGACAGTCAGTGGCTCTTTGGCTCCGAAGTATGAACTGCAAGGGGATGTAGGTGCCTGACTCCCACTGAAATCAATGGGCATGAGACACCCAAGTCCCTTTGTCTCTGGGCCCCAGCACCCCAATTGGTTAGGAAAATGCTAATGAGGCATTTGGGTGATTTTGAAATGTTTGCCCTGAACCCCCTAAATGCAGAACGAAATGTTTGATTTCACTGCTGTGTGAAACTGACCAACTCGGGCTGTAAAGCATTAGAAGGCCCTGCTGGAGTTTCTCACTGAGTAACAGGGCGGGGGCAGAGGGGAATGCAGGGGAGCTGCAGAAATCCCCTGAGCAGGACAAATGAGCTCAGGCCATGTCTGACCTGTGTTTCTGACTCTGCTTCTCCCTGTTCTCCCCACAGTTTCCATTGGTCTTCATCAAGGTAAGTAGCACGTTTGTTTTCATTCTCACAGCTACTAGCTGGAAGCTGGTGGCATCTGCAGGGACTGGGAGACTCCTGTGCTCCGCAGCAGAGCAGGAGTGAGCGTGGTGTCCATTGCGACTGGTTAGTGCAGGTCTAGGAGCCTCGGTGCAGGGAGGCAAGGGGAAGTCTGGAGGAGCAGGAGACAGAGTTCTACTTCCCCCTGGGTGCCAGGTCTCCGGCAGATCAGCTCTGGATCAGAGATTTTGGTCCTTGGCTGCAGCATGTATTGGAACATGGCCAGTAAAGGGGGAAAATGGGCCTTTTCTGGGTTTTTTAGATTCTTTAAAAGAGGCTGACAAGGGTCTTTGTCAAAGTGAGCCTGGATCTGCCTGCCAATTTCATTCCAGTTTAGCTGTCAGTCAGGGCTGTGATTTCATAGCAAAATAATTATGCTAGCGTGGGCGTGGTTATACCAGCATAGAGGTGCCTTAGGCCGGTCTGCACTGGCAAGTTACTGCTCTGTAACTTTCTCGCTCAGGGATATGAACCTCTCCTCCCTCCACAAGGGCATCAAGTTGCAGCGCTGTAAAGTGCGAGTGAAAGCAGGCTCCCAGCTCTTGGAGCAATGCTCCTTGTGGAGGTGGTTTAACTAGAGCATGCTGAGAACTCTTCGTGCATGGGACTCATGGCCGTGTTCAATCACTGCTACTGCAGCACTTTCTACCTGGAAGTGTAAAGAAAACCTTATGCTGGCATAGCTCATTCCCCTTCTAATACAGGGATAAGCTGTATTGGTCAAAGATACACTAGCTGCTTGAACTGGAGCAGCAGCCCAAATAACATGATATTTAAAACCAGATTAGCATTTCCATTGCCTTGTATGTACCTTTGCAGGAAGGTTTTCTCAGCCTGAGATAATTTGAGTAATTCTCTGTTCAGCAGACCAGTTGCCAGTTCTCACTCTGCAAATGTAACAGGAGAGCTCCCAGGATCAGAGGAAACCCATCCTATCCCGCCAAACTTTTCCTAGCCTCACTCTCTCCCATCCTCCTTGCTCATTCCATGCAGTTGTAAGCATGTTGATGGGGTGGGCAGAAATCAACTAGATTCAGTGCTGGTATCTGGTTGTTTGATCACATACTGATTGCACAGGACTTCATTGGAAAGGTCTCTCATAATTACAAATCTTTACAGACTAGTGGGAAAGTACAGAGCTGGCTGCCAAGTGCCCTGCTCTAAGCTATAGGAGAGGAAGATTGTGACAGGTTTGGTCATAATTACCCTTGAGACTGTCACCTGATGGGTAGATCTTACTTCTGAACCTGCCTACCTGCCCTCTGGTGCTCCCCACCGCCTTGTCCTGCTGAGCCAGGTCTCCCCTAGTGATGGCACAGAGTTGGGGTCACAGCTCACAGCAGAGCAGAGCAACACAGACCCAGATCTGCTCAGCTCTGGGAAGGCTCAGTCAATGGACCAGGGCCCCAGATAAATCCATCTTGCTTTGTATAAAATGTATAGAGAACGAGCCCATAACTTGTTCATCTCTGTTACCAATGGAAGCATGTTATGCACAGTTTTTGTCCCCTATCCAGGTAACAATATTTAGACTGGATTTATTAATAAATGAAAGTGATTTTATTAAGTATAAAAAGTAGGATTTAAGTGGTTTTAAGTGATAGCAGACAGATCAAAGTAAGTTACTAAGCAAAATAAAGCAAAACACACCAACTAAACATAATACAGGCAGTCCCCGGGTTACGTACAAGATAGGGACTGTAGGTTTGTTCTTAAGTTGAATTTGTATGTAAGTCGGAACTGGCGTCCAAATTCAGCCACTGTTGAAACTGACCAGTGGCTGACTACAGGAAGCCCGAGGCAGAGCTGCTCTGCCCCGGGCTTCCTGGAATCAGCAAAGCAAAACACACCAACTAAACATAATACAGGCAGTCCCCGGGTTACGTACAAGATAGGGACTGTAGGTTTGTTCTTAAGTTGAATTTGTATGTAAGTCGGAACTGGCGTCCAAATTCAGCCACTGTTGAAACTGACCAGTGGCTGACTACAGGAAGCCCGAGGCAGAGCTGCTCTGCCCCGGGCTTCCTGGAATCAGCCGCTGATCAGTTTCAACAATGGCTGAATCTGGATGCCTGGGACAGAGTAGCTGGGGCACTGCCGGGTAGGTCCCCGCAGCGCCGGCAGCACCCCAACTGCTCTACCCCAGGCGTCCCCAAGTCAGCCGCTGCTGAAACTGACCAGCGGCTGACTCCAGGAAGCCCGGGGCAGAGTAACTTGGGTGGCAGATCCCCTGG